AAGGGAACGCTCAAAGAGGCTACCTAGTAAAATACATCGCCAAAATCCACAATCGTGTGAAATTAGAATTTTTCAATGGAGGAGAAATATACAGTACAAACAAGGGCAAAAATAGAAAACAAGAAATAGAGGGAAAAAAGGGGTGGGTGGGAACAGTTATGTCTTCCACCATTATATCAAATAATTATCATCATAAAATTTTCCCCAACCTTTTTGTCCTTTTTAATTCCCAAATCATCACTTTGATTTTTTTTTTCTTTCAACAGGCTCCATATCCAGAGTCCCTCTTTTGAGAAGGGCAGCCAGTTTTAACTTTTGAGGCAGTTTAGAAATGTGAAAGAGGATGGATGGATGGATGGATGGATGGACGGACGGACGGACGGAACATTTCCAGTTTTCCAAGCAAACAAACTCTGAACAAACTGATCATTACAATAGCACATTTGAAAATAAGATGAGATACCAATTGCAAAAATTAACTATATATATCACAAAGGGAAAATGAAGTTTGCACCTGACAATCAAATTTCAGTACATTTAAGCTAGAGAGCAATAACAACCGGAGAAACATTTCTTTATCCCTAGAACAAAAAGTGACCCAAAGGGATCACTCAGTTTAATGTCATCCTACGACTAGTGTCAAACTCGGTAAAATAATAACATTTGTTAGCAGCCAAGAGATTAGCATCAGAAATCTTGCTGCCTTTGGAGCTGTAAAATCCCACATTAACAGATTGCGGGGGGGGGGGGTACCCATTGCAAATGGGCATGCATGTTTTATATATTACAGGTCCAATTAGAGCTGCTTGGCATCTCCAGGTCAAAGAATGGGATGAAAAACAGTACCAAATATCTCAATTTGAGGAACCTGGGGAGATGCATCCCAGTAAGAAAACAATGAAATTGGTGAATCAATGCTTCAGCCGGGTACAAGACAGCTTCTTGCATTTTTCTCCCTCATATGCAAAAAATGTATCTAAAGTTATAAAAGGTTATAAACTGGAAGTTATAATTAAGTTACAGCAGCATTGCATCAGGGATGTGGGCTACCAGTTCACTTCTAATCTGGAAAGCTCTGTACAGCTTGAGGATCACAATTTCTGAACCAAGTATTCCTTCCTGGATATATTTCGTCTGAGTCCAGAGGAAAGCATGGGAGGAAATGCTCCTGGGATACAGCAAGCAGCATTTTTGGTAGCAGTCAGCCCTCCCTTCAATCTCTGGAATGCATCCCCCAAAAAGGCATGCCTAGGGCCTCCTTTGTCATCTTTTTGGCACCAGGCAAAGACTGTTGAGTTCTCCCAGGCTTTTTAATTTTTATCGTAATTGTAGTGTTCTGCACTTCAGTTGCAATGTGGCATTCTAAACTAATAAACTTTAATCTCTGCCATTTTAGTCTTCTCTTCGTTTAGCAACAAGCTGCTCTCTATGCTTTGCAATTTTTCCATGTTAGTGTATCTTAAGAATAAATGGATGGTTAAATAAGAAAGAGGTTGTCAACGCAGTACTGATGCCAGCTCATCTGTCTTGGCTTTGCAGCTGATATACTGTACTTTTCTGGAGAATAAGATCTGGCAAGTAAGAAAATTTGGGAGACAGTTGCTGTCTTCTTTGCATCCCCCTGGGCTAAGTCATAGTCGAAGCCAAGAATCTCAACGGCAAGCATGCATGCGGGCAGCTTTCCCTGCCCAGTACCTCCACCCCTGATTTTCCTAGGGTTGGAAGTAGCTCTTGTGAGAATTGAGGCTGTCTTTGTATGAAGCCTGGTGGTACTCACTATCTCCCCCAGGAACTGCCTGGGTATTGGGGTTTCAATTAACTTTGGCTGCCAAAGAGCTGGTCCCTCCACAGCATAGCCAGCAAGACAAGCGTTGTCAGGTGTGAAAGGTACATTACTTTGTGTATGTCATCCCAGCTGTTCACAGCAACCTAACCTCACCTCCTTTGTGCAGCGATGAGCAGGTTGGGCTAAGGACACGGAGGGCGTGCCAACTCTTTTGAATACAGAGCACCTGGGCTGGAAGTTAGCCAAGCTGCCTTGAGAGCTGAACCTTTCTTCCGTCCAGGAGGAGCTATGCTGCCTATAGTAGGAATGCAGCCAGTATTCAAGGAAAGGCTCAAACTGTATCCAACTGATACAGTTGTGAGCAATCTTGATTTTAAGTGACAGCTGGATTGGAATACGGGATAAAAAGAACTGGACAGATTTAGATAAACAAGCCCAGCCAGAGAATTGCAAGATGTAGACAGAATACAGAATAATAAAGTTGGAAGGGACCTTAGAGATCTTCTAGTCCAACCCACTGCTCAAGCAGGAAAATCTATCCCATTCCAGACAAATGGCTGTTGAGTCTCTTCTTAAAAGCTCCAGTGATGGAGCACCCACAACCTCTGGAGGCAAGCTGTACCACTGATTAATTGTTCTGACAGGAAATTTCAAACTATTGTTTTTGCAATAGAAAGTTCTTAAAAATCAGAGATCAAGAGACACAATGAGGGAATTCTGGAGACAGATTTCTCCAATAAACTTTCACATGTGCAGGTCCTTGTTCCCATGCCTGCTACTAGGGCAGACATGAATATACTCTTGGAAATTAGCACCCACCCCTCTCCTAGAAAAATGAAATATTTTAGTAAATATTAAATATTTCCCCTAAAAGGGAGGCAGAAACTCATCCACCCACACACCCACACACACCCACACACCTTTGTTAATGGGCCATTAAGGCCTGGGCCAGTTTATTCTACACAACAAAGATCTACCTCCTTCAGGCAGAGCCATAATAGGAATTGCCCAAAGCCCCTTCATTACATCATCACCCAGCAAGGCTCAACCAAGCTTGGGACTCAGGACAGCCTTCAGAGTTGCCCCTGCATGGTCCCATGGGAGTCTGACAACCAATCAGAATACAGGCTCAAATTCAAAAGCCCAGAGTGGGCATAAAACCCAGGCTCTCTCAGCATCTCTTCCCTTTTTCTTCGCCCAAGATTTTCAAGGCATGTGATCCTGTTCATCAATAAATCTTCTTTCCAAGCAACTTCCATGCATCCCGTGTTTTTTCCCCCACTTGGAACTGAATCCAGGTGTACGTTTCTTCCAACAAATGGGGCCCTTGACAAAACAGGTTTCTCTGACAGCCTCTGACAGTATTCAGCTAAATATTTTAGCACACCCACATAGTCCTTAGCATCAAAGGCACAAGAATCTTTGTGGTGGTTACATTAATGAGAGTGGTGATAAATCTTCATATACTCCATCTCACTTCCTTATCACCCATGCACAGAAATGCATGCAAAGAATTGTTTTCAATCTGATCTTTTCAGAAGAACTGGCTTCCAATTCTTCCTGGTTTTTAATTCTCATTTTAAGTAGTTGAAATATAGCTATGGTCAGCAGCAGGGTTAAGAGAAAATGGTGCTTAGAGATGCAGGAAGAGATCCTGCTGGAACAGGTGAAAATGTTCCTATAGAGTCTCTGTTTTAATTTTTATAGAGCTATTATGATCTAAAAGGGACACAGTGGCACAATGGCTAAGACGCTGAGCTTGTTGATCGAAAGGTTGACAGTTTGGCAGTTCGAATCCCTAGCGCCCATTACTTGTCCCAGCTTCTGCCAACTAGCAGTTCAAAAGCATGTAAAATGCAAGTAGAAAAATTGGTGGGAAAGTAACAGCATACCATGCACCTTTGGCGTTTAGTCATGCTGGCCACATGACCATAGAGACATGTTTGAATAGCACTGGCTGTTCAGCTTTGAAACGGAGATGAGCACCTAGAGTCAGGAACAACTAGCACATATATGCGAGAGGAACCTTTACCGTTACCTTTATTATGATCTAATTGTCAGCATTCCAAGTATCATGTAGAATTAAATCAGAGTCCAAGGCAAAACGATCCTTAAAGTTCCAATTTAATAAATCAGACATCTTAACACATCTGTGGAATCCCAATTCTGGAAGTTACATTGGATTCCCACCCAGTTGAAAGTTCATGATGTGGTCCCCACAACCACAAATCCATCACATGGTCCAATCTTCTTCTTCCACGCTGGCATCTCCACCCAGCTGCTTCCAGTCAGGTGCAGAGGTGCAGAAACAAAATATGACCTTGGACTTCTAGAAAAGAATGACAACAACACATTCCACCATTCTACTCCTTTCCATTCCCCCCTCCCAACTACTACACTAATGAAACAGCATAATGAAATAAGAGAGNCCCCCCCCCTCCCACCTCCTGGCTGCTGGGCACTGGAGAAGCCAAAGGAAATGTGGGAGGTCGGCCAAAAAAACACTGTTCAATAAGTGACCAGGCTACTGATAAATGACCTCTCTCTTTCCCAGTGCAAAGAAGAAAGAAAAAAATAATAATTATGTACATTTAAAAGCAATCACTCACACCCTCTTCGCTACTGCCAACAATACTTTCTCCTCCTCTGGCTCAGTGAGAGATGCAAAAGTGCTCACCAGTTTGAGTTCGACAAGGCTTCAAGAGCAACTTGCCTCCCTGGGTCAAAGACAATTTAGAAGGGTCTTGGGAATCTAGTTCTGGACTCAGAGAGAGTTTGGTTTGAGGGGGAGTGGGGAACTCTTGCCACAAAGCCAACGGCCTGGCCCTTTTAGGACCAAACATATGCTAGCAAGGATGCTACAGAGTCTCTTAGAAGGATTTCGGAGTTGGCCATCCCTGCCATTCCTTGAATACTCCAGACACTTAACTAATGTTGCAAAGCTGTTTCTTTCAAGTCAGGGATGGGAGAAAAGGGGAGAGGACCAGCAGTTTGAACAGCCTTTAATTAACTTATCTTGGCAGTAGACAAAAACCACTTGGCCAGCCCCCTTCTCCTGGCCATCTACACCAAAGAAAGATATGCCCCCCCTCTACCCCACGGAGGATGAGAGTAGTAAAACTTCCCCAGCGCCTCTCAAGGAAACTAGGTGTTGGGTAAGCAGGAGTAGGAAGCGGGAGGGGAAGAGGAGGCAAGGGGGGGAACCCCCAGGTACCTTCCATCCAGCCGAGCTGTTGCTGTCGCCTTTATCCTTAAAATAGGGCACGTATCGGACCATCCAGTCGTAGATCTGGGAGAGGGTGAGCCGTTTCTCCGGGGAGCTCTCGATCGCCTTGGTGATGAGATCGGCGTAAGACAGGTTGCCCCAAGCGTTCCGCCGCGAAGTCTTCGCTTTGCGGAGCTGTCCAACGTCCGCGCTCAAGGAAGGCAGCGCGGGGGTCGCTTTGCCACGCTCCGCCGCCACGCCGGCGTTCTCGGCGCCTTCGGGGCCGCCGGCCAAAGGGTGCTTGGGGGCGCCGCCGCCGCCGCCGCCGCCACCACCTCCTCCTCCCGCACCGCCGCTTCCATCGTCTTCTTCGCCCGGGAAGTCGGGGTGAGGCAGCGGCCAGGTGCAAGAGCGAGGCCGACTCTGAGGTTCAAAATCCGGGTCGATGTCAACCTGATGCGCCTGCAGCTTCTCATCCATGGTCCTCCCCCTCCCCCCCCC